CGTCAACCACCAGCAGGAAGTAGCGCTCGTGACCCTGTCCACGGACGCGGGCTGGGCCCCACACGTCCATGTGAAGCGTCTGCATCGGGGCCTCCGTCGGAGGAAACGGGGAGGAGTGAGGGGTAGCCCGCAGGCGACCCTCAACACAGGGGACACAGGGAGGGCCAGGCCCCGGAGGAAGGGGAGGGAGGGACCGGGGAAGGCCAGAGACAAGAAGGCGAAAGGCCATGCCCCAGAGACGAGGCAGGGAGGGGTGACCCATCCTGTGGTGCCACAGGAGGGTCTCGTGGGACAGGAGGCGACACGAGCAGGGGGCAGACTCAGGACCAGACCTGGACGCTGCAGCAAACACCTGACCCGACGCAGCTACCTGACCAGACGCAGGAGGAGGAGACGGAACAGTGAGTGTGTACAGGCTCGACCCCGGCCCACGTGTGAACGTGGTCAAGTGTCGACCCGTGTCCGCGTCCGTGCAGTGGGTGTCCCGTCGGCGTGCAGGGGTGAACTGGTCGACCCCTGCATCCTGTAGGTCAGCACCCGCCACCAAGTTCGTAGAGAACGAGGGGAGGTAGAGACCGGACAGGGCGCCAGACGGGACCGTAGGGCACGGCAGGACAGTGGAGTAGCGAGCCAGAACAGGACCCCCAGAGGGGTCCGCCAGGGAGACCGCCACTGGCCGACTAAGCGGCGTGAGTGTGGTGCGGTCTCGAAAGAAGGAGCGAGACGCCCCCGAGTCAAGAGTGAAGGTGAGAGAGGGCGGAGCCGACGCAGTACCTGAGAGAGCAGACTCACCAGCACCTGAGGACACAGACTCACTGGCACCTAGAGCGACAGCCTCACCAGCACCTGGAGCAGCAGCCTCAACAGCACCTAGAGCCGCAGTACCAATGCCCGGGTCGGGCGGGAAACACCGGTAACAGTCACCCTCCTCACTAATAGTCACAGCATACATGGCAGCAAGAATAGCATCAAAGTCAAGATCAAAGATAGCTACTCCTGCCCTAGACAGCTGGTCCCAGCGAGGGATCTCAGAGGCGTCAGGAAACTGGCGGCGCCAAGCGTCAGTCAGGCGGTCGAAGCAGCGCTGGGCGGGGTGTGGACCACCACACGGCTCACCCGCACGGTCGCCCGTGCGCAAGACGTAGGTGCACGGACCAGTACCCCCACCCCTCTGACGTGCAGCGTACCACTCACGGAGCTGCTGCGGGGAGAGGGTCTCCTGACCACGCTGCTGCCGCTGCTGTTGGCGCTGACCGCCACCGGAGCCACTCCTCTGCGACGAGCCACGACCTCCTCCGCCGCCTCCTCCGCCGCCGCCGCCACCACCTCCGCTGCCACCGCCACTCCCACCGTCGCTGCCGCCACCGCCGCCTCCGCCTCCACTCCCACCACCACCGCCGCTGCCACCCCCGCCTCCACTGCCGCCGCTGACACCTCCACTCCCGACACCACTCCCGCTACCACCCCCACCTCCTCCGCTGCCTCCACCGCCGCTCCCACCGCCCCCGCCGCCTCCACCACGGCTCCTGCCCCCTTTGCCCTTGCCAGAGCGACGTCTCCCACTGGGGGCAGACGCCGCACCGACCGACTCAAAACCAACTAGGTCGGCCGTAGCAGCAGAGGCGACAGAGGGCAGGAGGGGGGAGGGGGAACACCCCTCAAAGATGGGGGTGCGCGGGTCACCACGAGAGGCCCCTACAGCGAGAATGCTCTTCTCGGCTGCTAGGAGGGACTTCTCAAGGAGGTTAACAGTGAGAGTGGTGGGGCAGACTGAGAGTAAGTCGTCCCTGACTCCGCGGAGGGAGTCAGGGAGGCGGGTGACAATGTAGTAGAGAGTGAAGTACTGGGGGGGGGGGGTTCTTGGCGCAGAACTCAGCAGGAAGCGCAGCGCGGAAGCGAGCGTCACTAGTGCGCAGGTGGGTAATGAGGTCGGCGACTGTGGCAAAAGAAGCAAGGTCGGGAAAGAGGTACGGTAGCATGAGGCGGCTCAGTGCAGCAGTGGCAGGGGTGGAGTAGCGTGCAATAACGGCGTCGTACAAGGTCTGAGCACTCTTGTACGACCCAAAGTGTGCACGCTCAGAGGGAGGGAGGTGGCGACGCACAGCAAGACGTGCAGCAGCATCGCGTGTGGCCCACTGTGAGCGAACAGTGGCATCCTCAGTAGCAGCAAGGGCGGGAGAGGCACCAGAAGTGAGATCAAAGAGAGAGAGGCCGTCAGCTCTGTCGCACTGTAGGAAAAGCAGCAGGTCGTCTACCCACACGTCAAAGTCGATGGCTCTGCCCTCAGCGTCGAAGGTGAGGACACTGGGGGTAGCCATCACAGCAGTGGGGTAAGGGCAGTGCGCAGAGTAAAGCTCAGTGCTCACCAGACAGGGCAGTGCAGGCGGCTCGGGCGGCTCGGGCGGCTCGGGCGGCTCGGGCGGCTCGGCGGGTCGGCTGCTGGGCGGCTCGGGCGGCTCGGCGGCTCGGGCGGCTCGGGCGGCTCAGCTGCTGGGGCGGCTCGGCTGCTGGGGCGGCTCGGCTGCTGGGGCGGCTCGGTTGCCGGGGCAGCTCGGCTGCTGGGGCGGCTCGGCTGCTGGGGCGGCGCAGTTGCTGGGGCGGCGGGGCCGGGAGATGCAGCTGCGGGGCCGTTAGGGGTAGTGGCGGGGCCGGTAGGTGAAGCGGCGGGGCCGTCAGGTACAGCAGCGGGGCCGGCAGGTGAGACGGCGGGGCCTGCAGATGCAGCAGCGGGGCCGTCAGGGGTAGCGGCGGGGCCGGTAGGTGCAGTGGCGGGGCCATCAGAGGGGACGGCGGGGCCGTTAGGTGCAGCGGCGGGGCCGTCAGAGGGGACGGCGGGGCCGTCTGGTGCAGCGTCGGGGCCGGCAGAGGGGACAGCGGGGCCGTCGGGTGCAGCGGCGGGGCCGGCAGAGGGGACGGCGGGGCCGTCAAGCGCAGCGGCGGGGCCGGCAGAGGGGACGGCGGGGCCGTCAAGCACAGCGGAGGGGCCGGTAGAGGGGACGGCGGGGCCGTCGCAGGCGATCGCGGGGCCGTCAGAGACGGCGCCGGCGTCGCGAGGGTCAGAGGGGGGCGGCGCGCGACTGGAGGGCGGCACGCGCGACGCGGTGCGGCCATCTAGGGGCGGCGCGACGAGGCCGCGTAGGTGGCGCGTCAAAAATTCGCGGGCGGCTCGACGCGATCGGGCCGCCAAAGGAAAAAAAAGGCCCAGCGCGACTCGGGCTAGGGCAGAGCGCGCTCCGGGCAGGACGGAATAGTAGGTGGGCCCTAGGAACAGTTCCCACTAGGGAACCTGCTCGATACCATGTTGAGATAGAGGCGAGGAATGGATGCACTATGAAATGAAACAAGTACAAGTACCAACCCTAATTGGGTTGTACCCCCTATGGGCTACCCCACTACAGCCTAAATATATGCATCAGTAATATAATCATCTGACATCTTCTACTGCACAGACGCGGACGGGAAGGTGCACAAGGCGGTCCCTTGCCTGTACGGATACCCTGCCGACTTCCCAGAATCCAGCAGAGCCTCCGCAACTCTGCAGCAAGGATCGCATCGGCCATGCGCTAACTGCTATGCTGTGAAGGGGGAGTTGACCATGATGGTGGGGAAGTGTGATCCACGGACCCCCGATCAGCAGAGGGACATTGTTCGTCAAATCTTGGCGTGCAAGAAGAAGGGCAAGGCAGACGATGTGCGGAAGTTATGGTCAACCCATCCGATCGAGGTGTGTTTGCTGGTACGCGGTTTGGTGGTGCGTAATGAATGGGCGCTGGATATCATGTGGACTGTTTGACAACACTGTGTCGTCTGTGGGATGGTTGCAGTGCGTGCTTCAAAGGTGGAATTTCGCAGACACAGAGTGGGGAAACGTGTAACTGGCATGCCTAGCAGACACACTGTACGTGCTGGACTCCGATGTGCTGATCCACATGATGGACTCCTAGATTGAACCCCTTGGAAAGGTTGAGATGCAGCTGCTAGAAAGGTGAGTTAGGTGTAGTCGGGTGTGAGAGCGGTAGCCAACTATGTTCTGCAGGGATTTTTGAGCGGTCTAGGCCCCCATGTGTGTCAAGCGGATAACGACGTCGTTCTTTGTATGTGCGCTGCCGCAAGAAGGAGTTCAAGCGTTTTACTCCAAGCGTTCTCCTCCGTATCCCTGGCGGATCATCGTTCTTCAGTTCAGGCGCAAACTATGCGGCGTTCGAGCACAGGAGCATGATGCAGATAATGCCGCTACTCATGGCAGACGAGAGTGCATTGAAGGATGGATCGGAGGGAGAGCTGCGTGCTTTGCAGGTCAAGGCGTTCTGGTTGTATGCTGTGTTCTACAAGGCGTTTTTGGGGGTTGACAGACACACACACACGACAATTGCAATTGCCCGGCAGCATGCGATAGCGTAAGTATTTGTATACCCCACGCCGTTGGGTCAACAAGATTTATGGGAGGCTATGCCTCCAGATTGGACAGCTATTTTGAGGTCGCCAAATACGGTGATGCATCCAGTATTGTGCCTTCTCGGGGGTGCCGGTGCAGGTTGGTGGCGTTGCTACCGAAGGCATTCCCATTGCAGGCATCCCACTGGAAGCTCCCAAAGATACACATGATAAGACATTTGCTGGACAACGTGAAGGAGCGTGTGATGCCGCACCACTATTCAACCGAGATGTGGGAGCGCACGCACAAGGGCACGGTGAAGGGTCCAGTAAGAGGGAGCAATTGGAGCGACATACCTCGACGAATCGTGGAGGAGGAGGTGCAGCGCAAGGTGTACCGCGAGGTGGCGGCGGACGCTGGGGGTGGGCGACAGTACGCGCGCGCCTTGCGTGAGGTGTGTTAGGGGGTCTTGGCGACGATGATGCCCAGTGTTGGTAGTACAGAGTACACCGTACACCGGGGTGGTGGCGTGACTCAAACACCGTTTGATTCGTTGTGCGAATGCGTGTGGTACGTGCAGGCAATCTTGACGAAGAAACCGGTGCTGACGAAGAAGTATCGGACAATGCGGATTGGCGGAGCGACGGATCGAGTGTACAATGAGTACATAACCGCGGTGGGAGACGATATGAAGGGCTTGGCAGACGAGTTTAAGGCGTTGGGTCTGGCTACCAACAGCGTGCAGGTGAAGTGATTACAAGCTGGCGGACATGTGACGTTTGTAGTCTTACATGATGGTACTCACCGCACTCATGATGTGCACGTGTTGTTGGTTTGGTGGGGATGGGGTGACAGGTCCACACGGCGGTGGCCATTCCGCGCACAAGAGGCGGAGAACTGGTGGCCAAAGGGACATTTGTGAAGGCGTCGCCCCGAGAGAGGTGGTATTCGGACGTTGCACTGCTCAATGACAAGGGTGGGGACTGGTATGCAAAATGTCTGTGCATTTTCAGGGCGGTTGACCGTGAAGGGGATTGGAAGGGGTATGCATATGTGAGGTACTATGAGAAGGCTGGGAGCTGCAACCTCACGGGATGTACGCAGCTGCACAAGACAGTGGAGGATGTGAGGTTCTCGGTGGTGGAGCTGAAAAGCCTGCAGAGAGTGGTGCACGTGTGCCCTTCGTACAGCAACAAAAAGGTGCAGCTAGTAAATAGGTTTCTACTATGCGAGTGACGCAATGCGTTTACAGACAGGGGGTGCATCAGGGAATTTTAAACCATAAATTACTTCGTAGTGCGCTCTTTATGTGTAGAGGCACGAATGGATGGAAGTTGTGTTGTCCAGCGGTGATGATATTGTACACTCGTGGTAAGAAGGAGAGACGTTCAATCAGGTAGAGGTGTGCAGTATGGTTAAATTATGAATCGTATAACGCGTACGGGTACCTTTATTCCTTGCGCGGTCGGGGTTGCACAACCACAATGTGTGGTGGTACACACTCGGGGTCTCAGGCAGTTGGTTATTTGGATATGGGTGACGCGTACGTGGCATCGTGGGGGCGGGATGTCCTATGTGGGCGTTACAGGTGGTCGTATCAAAGGAGAGCGTTATCTCTGTGTGGCGCAGGGAATGTGTCGGTTGGTTGTGTGGCCAATTTCAACTGCTGTACACAGTGTGCGTGCAGGGGCAAGGCGAGGGTACGCCAAGGTGATATGAAACGTATGTAGGAGGAGGTCGTGTGCCCTTCAATCCATACTTGCATACCAGAGTGACAGTGTGTTACAATGGGTGACCTGAAGGCCCTGCTTGCTACCGCACATCCGGATGACGTGTTCTGCTTCCACAAGATTAATTTTCTTCCCAGCCGGCTGCCGAAGTCCTACATTCCGGATAAGCGCAATGTGGTGGAGCGTATCGTCAGCGTCGGCATCCTCTACAACGCGACGGGGAGTTGTTCCGCAGTGCCTCTTGTGGTGCTAGAGCCATCCAATAGGCCCCTGCGCCGGCGGGCGAGCGCCGCATCGCGCAAGGTGGCCGTTATGTATACGAACCGCGGGAGGTTGACGCCGGAGGTAATGGATTGTGGACTTTGTGTGTAGTTTTATGGTTGGACGTGCATAGTGCGTGTGAGTACATCAGGAGCGCGTCCATCTCCGATGTCAGTGCGTACCGCAATGTCCGTTTATGACGTGCTCGATATGTTTGATTCACTGCACACAGGTGTTCACGGAGTTTGTGGAGACGGTCAACGGTGTGCACTTCAGCCGTGATCGCAACACCATCATCCTCACCATTCACAATGCGCATCGCATCACAGGCGAGGTGGCGCCGGCCGTCTCGGAGCACGGCTTCAGTGTGCAGCACCTCACGAACACCAGAGTCGTCAACATTCGTGGATCGGTTCCGGAGACGGGCCTGCCGCACCTGCAGGGAGTGGGTGACACGCTGAAGGCGTATTACCGCGTTATGCTGATGAGGCGTGCGATAGGGTCCAAGCGGTTCCAGTTCGACTATTCGGCTTCCATCGCTTATGTCGACTATAACGACATACTCGAGTGGCTGGGAGAAGCGTGGACTCGTGTTCGCGCGGCTACCATGCAGCGGAGCTGGTGGCGCGCAGGATGCGTGCCGGCGAGCTGGCCGCCCCTGATGGCGTACCTGGGTGACACGTGCGCAACCGGCATGTTCGAGCCTATTATTTCGGTATGCGTTGATTTGCAGTTGCTCATCGAGAAGTTCAAGGTAAGGCCTGCGTGCTACATGACGGCCTCGGATTTTATCAACTGCGACGCGGGAAAATGCGTGGAACAGGGGTTCAGAGCCACACCTGATGCCAGCGCGTCCGATGACTCGTCGGGCGACATGAGCCTGCCAGACGGCCCATTGCTGCGGGACGAGCGCAGCAGGAGGCGCGTGATACGCAACGTCACAAACGCGTACGTGGAGCGTGCCGATGAGCTCGGCATCCCCCCGGCAGCTGTGCCAGCAGAGGTTGGAGCATCGAACCAGGAGGTGATTTCCCGCCTATGCAGGACGCCTGTCAAGAGGGCTCGCGCAGGGGGGCGAGCTGAGAACGGGACAGCCAAAGAAGTGCTGCAGAGTGATGAATTGCTGGAGAGTGATGACGACCAGTGATGCGTCTGGCAGTAGGGGGGTTTGGTTGTAGGAGTTGATTGTGTGCGGTGTCGAACAGGGGGGGTACGCATTGCTAATGTTGGTGTAGTGGTTGTAATTGTGTGTGCAGTATTATTTTCAGTTGATGGAGCCGTTTTGGATAATGTGGATATGAGCACCCTAACAGTGGACTTACATGTTGTATTTTGACGGAAACACCAGTTACAGCATACTTATGTCGCGGATTTTGGTTCCAATGACATGGGAGCCGCGTTTGCGACTCGAGATGTAGGTGTCCGCTTCGAGTTTCGTACATGTTCGTAGAAAAGTTAACGCCAAGTCACGTTTACGTCTACGATGAAGTTGTGCGTATCTGATGTGCAAAAAGTTGCGATTCGGGTGCGGTGTTTTTATTAAGCTTTCCGCAACTTTCTCGCAAGGCCAACGCAGAAAAAACTTCGGGGGCCAAAAATCGCAGCTTTCCTTTTTCGCGATGTCCGGGCCAAGCCCATTCGGTCCTGGCGGGATCACTCATCGATACACGACCCCGAACCCGCCTCTGTCAATGTCGTTTCGTGGATGGAAGCTGTTCGTCGCAGCCTGGAGTTCGGCGAACGAAAACCGTCGCAAGGAGCTCGGGATGAGGTCAGGGTGGGGATTGTGGCTAGTAGTGTCGCTGGTGCTAGGATTCGCGGTTGACCCGCCGACCAAAACATTGTTACCGACTAAAACTACTTCATCGGCGCAGGCACTAGGATTCGCGATTGGACCGTCCACCAAAATACTGTTATCGGCGTCACTTGCACAAAGATTCGGGGTTGGACCGTCGGCCAATACATTGTTATCGGCGCTAGCAGGATTCGGGGCTGGACCGTCGACTAAGATTACCTTATCGGCGTCACTAGCACTAGGATTCGGGGTTGAACCGTCGACCCAAACACTATTAACGGCGTCACAGGCACTGAGAATCTCGGTCGAACCATCGACCAAAACATAATTACTGGTGTCACTGGCATTATTCGTGGTTGAGCCATTAACAAACACATTAACAACAATGGTACCGGCACCAGGATTCGGGGTTGAACCGTCGACCGAAACAACTTTAACGGTTGCTTGAGAGGCAGATGTTGTGAGAGAGGATGGATTCTGGGTGCTGGGAATGGACTTGCTGGCGGAGTGATCAATGATTGGTGTGCTTGTTTCAAGGTGGTCTGCTGGAAAAGGAATGGTGGAAATGGAATTGGAACTTACTGCAAAGGAAGTGATATGGGGGGGGGGGGGGGGGGGGGGGTAAATGTAATAACTTGACATTTAGCTTCTTCTCTTGCTTCAGACAGAACATGAGTTTCCCCGCTTAACAGATCTAATTTCAGTGGGGTGTAAAGTTACCCTGAGACGACCCGGGAATACTACCAATGTATTTAACATTAAGCTTTCACGTTATTCGGAGTGTCTGAGCGCGACATAGGAGACCGGCGTACGTACCTCTTTTCGACATGAAACAACCCATTTCGCTTTGCGTGGAAGTACTTGACACGGCGGCGCTGTTGGTCTAGAATTCTGCTTTCAAGCCTTGAAGGGAAGAAAACAAAGAACTAAAACTACGTCTATCAGATGCATTCCCATTCCAACTCCTGGACTGCTCCACGCATGACGGAGCACATCATGCGACTATGTTCATTGTTGACTCCGCTAAGGACGCGTAACCATTTTGCACCCGACGGAACGAACCGTGGACCATACGTCGATGCGAAGGGTTACCATTGTCGTTTAGTGTCGTTCAGTTCTTCGCGAGGACGTTTGCGACGTCGCTACAAATTCGAACTGTCATGACACTTTTTCCGCTTTCCAACGACACGAAACTCTGACAACGGACGGTCGGAATCACAAACGGACTGTCCGCCTGTCCGCGCACGCAATTGGCGGGCGAAATTGGATTTCAGCAGACCGCCTCGCCAAAAGATGAAAAAATGCGACTCGGATGCAACGATTGACATTGACCAATCACAACTAGCCATACTACAATACAAGAAGCCACGACATTGACCCACTACTCACTTCTCTGCACAATGGATCCCTCTAGCTACGCCCAGAACACCCAGTCTGACAACACCACTCCTAACTCCCCGCCACCGAGCTCTACCAATACTACCACTCGTGCCACAGCTGTTCTCGAAACACAAGATTCCCAGATACCTGGTCCTTTTGACATTGAATGGGCCTGGTTTGGACGGCCTTTGTGCTTGTTTGACATTTCCTATATTTGTTCGAAGCGCTGAACTCAACAGGCAAAAATTGCGATGGGTTGTGAGTGGCGTTACTGGTGTACATTTGAGATGGCGAAGGGAAAACCATCGCGGAACCCTAGCATGTGGAAAAAGTGTCACATCTGCATTCGTACCGTCCGAAGTTGCAAACATTCAAATCGGACAATCCGTTTTGTTATAAACGTACCGTCCGATTCCATATAATCGGACGGTACGTCAAAAAAAAAAAAAAAAAAAAGCAAAATGGTTACGCGCCCTAAGCAGTAAGGCTGAACATAAGGAGTGATATAAAGCCTTGCACGGTTACAATTACGAGCGGCTATTAATGCATTCTGTCTGCTAGTCATGGACGAATATATGCAACGATGTAGTCTTGGCAGAGTTTACTGCAGTGGTGCAAATACTTCTAGTATCAGTGACGCATCAAGAAGCAGACTGCTATCTTACCAGAAGCAAGCTCTAATCTTCTGAAAATTATGACAGGGGATACCTCGAAAACCAAAACTCCGAGCTTCGTGTTTCAACGTGGTTGCGAGTGCGTCACTAACTCGTCAATGCCTCGCGAAGCCTCTTGGCAGCTGAAACTATCGCTTCGCTAAAGCCCGCTAAGTTACAACTATGCACTGTCTAATGCTGTTACGGGTGCAATTTAAAAGAGAATGACGATTGCACTCAGGGGTCACTAAGAGTACAGATGTGAGCTAAGGCATGGGTGAACATTCATAGCTAAAACGACAAATGATATCGTGGTGTGTGCAAGCTACCTAGTGAGATGCTGGCAGCGAGGTTCGGGCAAGTCCTGAAGCGTAGGCCGACTTGGCTGGTCTAGTTGTGCTAGGTTTGGGAAAAGCGTCGAGCGATGGCAGCAAAACGCCATTGGCAGTAACAGGCGGAGACACGGCCGGATATGTACGCGTTGTTGAGGCGCTCTGTAAGGAATGCCGAAAAAATCCTTACACAAATAAAAAATCAAAGTAACACCAATATGCTATCTCACATAGAAAGCTTTGCTCATATATCTTACAAGAGGGAAACCATTGCCACGGCTGCTGCTGACAAACCTGATTCGCCCGCCGTTCGACTCCATTCGCCTCCGCATTTCAGCTTTCAACTGACCGTGATTCTCCCGCCTCTAGTGCGGCATGGCAGCTGTAGCTGCCCCTTCCACTCCATCAACCTCACACATTCCTTTGCAGTGACCTGAGTGTTTCCAATACCCTCCCAATTTCTGGCCGCCTCGACCGATCGTCCTCCATGCAGTGCCGAGCCAGAGTCGCCAAACCTCGAGCGTCTGGCTCGGGGTACTGGTTACCAAGTCGAGGGTCGATATACGCTTCAGGTCCGAGATTCAGGTCCGAGAGCAGTGCTTTGCACTCGATGACCATGTTTTCTCCCTCTTCCAACACTCTCCTGCCGGTTACCAGCTCTAGCAGGAGAACATCAAAGGAGTAAACGTCGCTCTTGGCACCCAGGCGGCCTGGGGACAGGGAGGGGGTTCGTGTGGGGAGGGAGAGTAGGTGTCCTGTGGTGGTTTCCAGACCAAGTAGGAGAGCGCAAAAGGAATAGACGTCACTTTTGGCAGGCACCCAGGTGTCCTGCGGTGGGCAGCGCATAGCTGGGCGGGGCAGGAAGGGGCGGCGGCAGGGTAGGGGAGGGGTGAGAGAGGATAGATGAGAGGGGCGAATAGCACGTTTTTGTACCATCTCCTTTTACCAGAAAAGCGAACTATGTTGCTCTTGGCGACCTGGGATGGGTGGGGAAAGGGGGGTTGAGGGGTGGTGAGGGGTGGTGAGGGGCAGGAGGGGAGAGGGACCAGGTACAGAGGGTTGATGTACCCCTCGATGTCCTTCATGGGATTCCACACTGTCGACCTCTTCCCTACAAACCCTAGAAAGCCCGTCAAGTCACTCACCTGTCTCCATGTATGAGGGGTCGATATAGCCTTGAGTGCCCATGAGGCGAGTTGATACAGTCGACCGTAGCTGCCTATCCGGCCCCACTCGCACCATGCCAAAGTCTGTCAGCTTCGCATCGTACTCCTGTGGCGTGGAGGGAAGGGACGAGTGAGATGCTATTGAAACTGTTTGCTACCGAAACCAAAACCTAGCTTCCCGTCCGGCCCCACTCGCATCGTACCAAAGTCTGTCAGCTTCGCATCGTAGTCTTGTAGCGTGGAGAGGGAAGGGAAGAGGTTGAAACCTCGAGGGATGGGGATTCTTTTGAGTCGACTCAAAAGTCACCTCGTTGAGAGGGAAGGGACCATGCCAAAGTCTGTCAGCTTCGCATCGTAGTCCTGTGGCGTGGAGAGGGAAGGGAAGAGGTTGAAACCTCAAGGGATGGGGATTCTTTTGAGTCGACTCAAAAGTCACCTCGTTGAGAGGGAAGGGACGAAGAGGAAACATTGAGGGATGGGAATTCTTTTGTGTCGACTCAAAAGTCACCTTGTTGAGAGGGAAGGGACCATGCCAAAGTCTGTCAGCTTCGCATCATTGTCCTGTAGCATTGGTGGTGGGGGGGAAAGGAGTGAAGGGGAACATTGGGAGGGATGGGGGTAAGGGCGGCCATTTCATGGCAAAGGCTGTCATTATGATTCTTCGCACCATCCCAAAAGCCTTTCAGCTTCGCATCGTACTCCTGCGGTGCTGGTGGTGCGGAGGAGACGCGTGGGGAGATTTGAAGTGTGGGGGAAAGAGGGCAGTCATTGAAGATAAGCTATATGTGATTTTTGAGACGCCTCAATATTGGGAGTATGGGGGAAACGGGGCAGTCATTGAAGGGAAGCTACATGTGATGGCTCGCACCGGCCCAAAGTGTGTCTGGATCGCATCATACTCCAGTGGCGTTGGGATGGAAGGAGTGAGGGGGGAGATTGGGAGGGATGGGGATAAGGGTGAAGGAGGCGTATAAGCTGTACGAGGCTTTTCGCTAAGTTTCGTCGATTCGCAGCTAGCTAAAAAGGATTCGCATGTGCCTATATACAAGATCTGTTACCATATTTGACTTCAGTCTATTCTGCTTGACTTCGGTCTGTTCGTTACTATTGGTTGATAACCACGCGACGCGCTTGTAATGTAGGTGCATGAGGCTGGGGAAATAACCTCGGGTGCAGCGTATCCATCCGGCGCAAGGCAAATTCGCGTGCATGGGGTGAGCATCAGCTGTAGTTCTGTTCTTTGGACGTACTCGGACAGTTGAGAAATAACCGTTCCTAGCAGGTGGGTGATCTAAAATATCACTTATCCTGGGAACCATACCCAGCCATTCAAAACAATTCATTGAACGCTCTTAATCGTCATTGAACTCGTCAAACCGTACTGCCGCGTTCTTTGGCGCCTTTGGCTACAGGGTTGAGTTCTGTGTACCGGAATACATGCTTGTATAGCGCGATCCACTTCCTTCACATGCATTCCACAATTCCTTCCGCTCACGTGTCGGAAGATTGAGATGCGGTAAAATAGGAACCATAGTGTAGCAGCCGATTGCATATATTTTGGAATATATAATAGACAATAAATACATTGCTTAAGTCCAAGGAATAAAGTTTGGTCTTTGTTCTCCTTATATAGCAACATGATCACCCAATCCTATAGGAAATTATACTATTCGCATAAGCAAAGCTTACATCGTCAGGACCAATACTGGTGCCCACAACTGCTCACGACCCTTATTCACCGCCGCTCACCTCCATATCCCCTTTTTCGACCGACCCTGCCCTGATTCTCCCGCCTCCAGTGCTGCAGCTTTAGCTGCCGCCTCCACCTCCTCATTCTCGCACACCTTCACCACCTACATTCCCAATGTCTGGCCAGGTGACTTCTGAGTCAAGTCACCTTGGAGCTGCCGCCTCCACCTCATCATTCTCACACACCTTCACAACCACTGCAGCTTTAGAGGCCGCGTCCGCCTCATCATTCTCACACACTCTCACCAACAGCTTGAGTTTTTCCAGTACTGACCTAATGTCTGGCCGGGTCGACCTATTATCCGCCACACAGTGCCGAGCCAGAGACGCCAAGCCTTCAAACACCGGCGTTGACAGGAAGTATATCAAGCAACAACCACCACTGGTGCCACAGCCACCAAAGGCCCCTCTTCACCTCCAGTCACCTCCGTATGCCCCCCTTCTGACCCTGATTCCCCTGCCTCCAATGCTGCAGCTTTAGCTGCCGCATCTGCCTCATCACTCACACACTCTCAACAACAGCCTTAGTTTCTTCAGTACGGTCCCAATGGCCAGCCGGGTCGTCCGATCGTCCGTCACACAGTGCCGAGCCAGAGTCGCCAAGCCTCGGGAAAAGACCAGCTCTCATATGAAGTATATCAAGCAACAGCCACCAACGAACCCTCTTCACCTCCAGTCACCTCCATACCGCCCCTTTCTACTGACCCTAACCCCCCCCCTCTCCAATGCTGCAGTTTCAGCTGATGCTTCTGCCTCATCACTCTCACACGCCCTCACCAACAGCTTCAGTTTCTCCAGTACAGTCCCAATCCCAGGCCGGGTCCTCCGATCGTCCGCCACGCAGTGCCGAGCCAGAGTCGCCAAGCCTCGGGCGCCCCGCTCCGGGTACTGGTTACCAAGATGCGGATCGATGTATTCCGCGGCTTTACGTGTGAGGTCGGAGAGGCGTCTTCTGCACTCGATGACCATTTTTTCTCCCTCGTCCACCACTCTCCTCCCGGTTACCAGCTCTAACAGGAGAACGCCAAAGGATTAGACGTCACTCTTGGCTCCCAGGTGTCCTGAGGAAGGGAGAAGGGGAGAAAGGGAAAGAGCGGACAAGGGCCGGGAAAGGGAGTGGGGATCAGAGTTAAGTTAAAAAAGGAAAGCGCCAAAGGAAGGATTAGACACCGCTCTTGGGGTGTGCCGGGAATCGGGGAAGGGAGAGCGGGAGAAAGAGTGGGGAAGTAGGAGAGGGCCGGAGGTTCTCAAGTTGCGAGTTAGTTCCATTGGCAGCTGTTCACAGAGGTGTCTTTTGAGTCGACTCAAAAGTCAACAAAGGTGTCTCACTCAAAACACAACTCTCCCCTAGCCACACTCCAGCTTGTTTCTTAGGCGCCTCAAGAACCACACCTGCTGAGACGTTGATAAGCAGGCAGGCACACACCTGCGTGCACGTTAATAAGCAGGTTGATAAGCAGGCACACACCTGCGTGTACGTTAATAAGCAGGTTGATAAGCAGGCACACACCTGCGTGCACGTTAATAAGAAGGTTGATAAGCAGGCACACACCTGCGTGCACGTTGATAAGCAGGTTGATAAGCAGGCACACACCTGCGTGCACGTCGATAACAAGGTCGACGTCGTCCCAAATGCCCAAGATGCGAGTTAATTCCATAGGCAGCTGCTCAGTCTCCGGCCCCACTCGCATCTTCCCAAAACCTGCCAGCTTGGTATCGTACTCCTGTGGCACAGGGAGGAAAGGGAGGAGTGGGGAATCCGGAGGGACGGGGCAGAGGCAGGCAGCCGTTGTTGGGTTGGGAAGCTATATGTGATATTACATACCTTCCAAAATCCGTCTGACTCGACTCAAAAGTCAATTCGGCTGAATTCGAAATCCATGTGTGACGTCACGTCACGCATCTTCCAAAATCTGTTCTGACTTTTACATCGACTCAAAAGTCGACTCAAAAGTCAACTCAAAAGTCAACTCAAAAGTCAACTCGAAAGTCAACTCAAAAGTCAACTCGAAAGCTATATGTGATATCTCACGCCATCTAGAATCCAATAGCTTTGCATAATATTCATGCCATGGTGGAAAAGGGAACCAATGCGGGGATTCAAAGGGATGGTGAAAGCAGCGCTCATATAATGTCGACTTCCCGCCCCTGCGATCTGCCCTGCTGCTACCTCCCCTCTCTCCCCAAGTCACCACCTCCCCACCCCACTCACAGGCAAGAGCAGCGCTGTCGGCTTGCTACCTCTGCGATCCGCCCTGTTACCGCCCCTCTCTCCCACGCCCTTACATGCACTCACAGGCGACAGCAGCACGCTGGCGGCTTTCAAATTGCCGTGGATAAAGTTACGTCCGTGCATGTATGCGAGCGCCTCTGCCACCTGCACCGCCACCTTGAGCCGCATGCTCCAGCTGAAGAAGAGCTCTTCCTTTGCACCTGGTGGGTTGATGCGGGGAGGGAGGAGGGGTCGAAGAGTTGGTACCGAATATGATGGGACAGCAACGACAGCTGAGTCCACTCTAATCTGGTGGTTAACCACCCGTAGCACCCCACTCTACTGCCCCAGCACCCCACCCACTGTCCAAGCTGCCCCCTGGTCATGAACTCGTACACGAGCAGAGAGAGGCGAGAGCAGAGACTACTATAAACTGGTGGTATACCACCGTAGCACTCCACTCACTGTCCTCTAGTGCTTCATCCAAGCTGCCCCCCGGCATGAAGTCATACACGAGCAGAGCTTCATCGCCCTTCGTACAGTAGCCATGCAGATGCACGAGGTGCGGGTGCGACAGAAACATAAGCGCGGCAACTTCTCTCTGCAAGGTACGGAAGAGGGGTGGGTAAGGGGGGGGGCGGGTAACGGGGGGGGACGGGTTGAGAGAGGAAGAATGGGAGGAGGTTGAAGGGGGCAGTTGCCTCATGGGCCAGCACGATCATCCTTCATTCCACGGTGATTTCAGGTCGTATCCCTGGCTGGTGGCAAGAAGTTGGTGGCAAGAAGTTTCCGCGCGTGATTGGTCCATAACAGACGCCCGGCCAATGCGATTGGTCAAGCGTTTTTTTTAACCAATCGCGTGCGCAAAATTCTTGCCACCAACTTCTTGACACCAGCCAGGGATACGACCTCATTTGAAATGGGGACAAAGGAGGATCAAGCCGCGAGCCAGTTCCCCAAACTTGGGTTTCCCGTAGGTTACTCGTGTTTCGAGTCGACTCAAAACACGGCTGTGGGGTGCGGGTATGAAGCCTCCATGCATTATTAGGGACAGAGGAGGACCATTGGTTAGAGAAATCTCAAGAAACAGATTCAGCCTCCATGCGCTAGGGACAGAGGAGGACCAAGGCATGCAGTGCAGGTGCACGAGATGCGGGTGGGTGGGTGGGGCAGCCGCTTGTTATGCCACGAGCTTTTCAAGTCGACTCAAGGATCGCCCGAGCGCGATCTGCGATTGAAGGAAGGATTGGAATTTAGTGGAAGAGTGATGCTGAAGGAAAGTTGGCATTCAACCCAACCTCTTATGCAACCACGTGTCATACAACCCCCCTTTTTCTCCCACCCACGCACCCACGCACCCGCACACGCACGCACGCACTCACGCACCAGAAATGCTCGTGCACTCATGTGCCATACAAACCCCCTCTTTCTCCTACCCACGCACCCACGCACGCACCCACGCACCAGAGGCTCGTCCCCGTCTCCTTTGTTCGCCTCGCGCATTCTCTTAATCGCCACTTTCGTCGGCTCCGCGCCAAGCCCATTCGGCCCCGGCGGGATCATCCCCCAATACACGGTCCAGAACTGGCCTTCGCCAATGCAGTTTCGCCAATTAAAGCTGTTCGTCGCAGCCTCAAGTTCGGCGAGCGAAAACTGTCGCAGGGATCTCGGAACGAGGTCGGGCCGAGGATTGTCGCAGGAAGTGTCGCTGGCGCTAGGATTCGCGGCTGAACCATCGACCGGAGCAATATTATCCATCGCCGAAATGGGAAGTGTGGAGAGTTGCGTGAAAATAGAAAGAAGGTAGCTTGGGATGCGAAAACAAGGGAAATTGGGGTGAGAAGTATCTAAAATGTGACTTTAGGGTGCGTCAGATCCGTTGGCCAGATCAATCCGGCTGGCCGGATCTAGCGAAGGTTACACATTCACGACATTCGTAAGGTATTTCGTTAATTTCGCACAATCCGGCCACTTGCTAAAATTTTGATGGCCGGTTTGATGGCCGGTTTAGCATTCGACAACTTTTCCGACGTGCAAACGAATCGAGAGTCGACCACTTTGTCGACTCATCAGCGCTACAGTACCTATGCGACTTGGCGAACATACCCAAGCGACTCAACGTGTCACAAGGACGACTCGCACGGCGCTTTCAGTGTGTACAATAGCGGTTGTGTCACTTCAGTAACAATACGTGCGACTACGTCGCACAATCCGGCCAACTGTGCGACCTGTAAATTTGACACTTCTGCAAACCGGCCTGTAAATCGGCCACCAAATCTGTCAGATTTCAACACCTTGTAAATGTGGCTGGATGGTGGTCGGTTTAGCATTCGACCATTCTGTCGACTTTGGCGAAAAAAGGAGTCGACCAAAAGGGCGACAAATTTGCAGCCAAATCACATTGTAGCGGATCTGACGCACCCTAAGGGCTTCACGGAAGTGACTTTCTAGGGGATCTTAATACTGTTGTGAATGGCACGCTCTTCACGTGCCACGCTACTGTGCCACTCCAACCCCTTCCCCTCAAAACACCCTCCAAGAACCCATCCAAACCACTCAACTCCCCCAAAGCCTATTCCAACCACTCAAGTTACAAACTCCTTTTTCCAACTCATCCTCTCCAACTCAAGCCTATCAACCACCTCTTTAACTACTCCCAACCACCATAGACTTTCCTAGTCCAACTCAACCAATATTCAAACCAACTTCCCATACTCATCCTCAAGTGCCACCATAAGGCACATGACTCCTCATGATTTTCCATGTGCTTTCCTTTCCTACTCATCAAAGTTTACCCAAGTCATCTACCTCCTCCAATTATCCTCCTCCCATGTGCCTTCAAGCACATGCTTCCACTTCCTAGTCATCAACCTCCACATGCCTCTCATTTATTCCTTCCTTCCTTCCTTCCTTTCCCAAGTCACCAAAGTTGCCACCTCATCCCTAAGGACTTCATGATTATCCCATCACCTCCTATTACAAGGCAACAAAGCTCATCATCTCCTCCACTCATCCTTATCCAACTCACTAAGCTCTCTTTCAACTCAACAAGGCTTACATCTCCAACTCATCAAGTGCTCAACCACCATCACATGCTCCAATACTATTCATCTACATCAAGCATCTCTACAACTTCTCAAGAAGGTTCTTCAATGACAACAATGCATTCCAAGCTTCTTCACCAAGCTCATTTCCAAGCTTCTCCTTCAAGCTCCTCTTCTACTACAAAGGCTCCTCACTAGCAACCAAGTTCCATGTCTCCAAAAGTTGATACTCTCATGCAACTCTCTTTCAAGGCTACCATTGATGGTTACTCTCTCTATCCATGCCTATGTATCCCTCATGGATCTATAAGGCTTGTACTATACCTCTTTCAATATAAGTTTATGCTCACAAAGTGTCTCTCATTAGTCTACAAAGTTAAGCATCAAGTGAAGAGTAGTCACCTCATACTCTACTTGAGTATAAGGTTCATTACTTCCTACAAGCTTGAGGAAGGATCATCACCCAACACCAAGCTTTATGTTCTTCTTCAATAAAGCTCTCAAGACCAAGCCATTCATATAAGTCACCTCTACAACTATCCCTAGTAAGATTCATTTAAGTAAGTTCTTATCACCTCTCTTATTCTCTCAACAAGCTCATACTCTCTTTCTCCATTTTTGAGTTCTTATCTCATCAAGCATTCCACCTTACACAAGTTTCTCTTTATAGTCACAAGTTCTAAGTATCATCTTCTCTTCTATCAAGCTCATCCTCATTTGCTACAATTCCACTGTTCACTCTTGTCTTATTCTATTGTGCAATCATACTCCTTTATCCTTATCTCAATTCTCTACAAATACAGGCCCTTCACAGGGACCACTTAGGGTGACTACTTTAGCGAGAGTGTTTCACAAGCGATGCGGCGACACAGAAGTCAAATGCACCGTCGCCGCAAGGCCACCATCCGCGAACCATCCCGGTGGGGACAGGCGAGACCAACCAGAGTCAACTCTCGTTGACCCTGTGTTGACCCTCTCCTCAGCTTCCAGCCATCTTCCAGCCTCGGTGGCTGCCCAACTAAACCCAGGCCAGGGTAAGTAGCGACCGCGGGTGTGACTTGAAGGGTTGCGTGCGCAGGAACGTCGCTGACGCATACGTGATATTGCCACGTAGGACAAGGTTTGCCTCGACCCGAAAAGAGTGGCATGGGATCGAGGTTCGAGGGACGACCTTACGAGCTACAGCCGATAAACACGGCCTGCTTTGGTGGCTGGCATGGCATTGCATAGCATCGCAGACAGTTACACACACACTCATCGTGCGAATTGCATGAGCAGTCGCCCAGTCGTGCGCGTCTCGCAGATTCGCCTACGGCGACTGGTTTCATTTTCTCGCTGGTGTCACACTGCTGTTATCTTTTGAGAGTTTCCCTCTAGTGGATGTTGGAAGCAAAGTGTAACACAATTTGTTCCATTCTACCCCGACTACCCACCTGTCTGATAAAATGATTGCACCATAAGTTCTCAATGTGGTTTATAATTTCCAGTGTGTATGACCAACTTGTGTGATCGGTTGCAAAGAACTAAGCAAACACAAAAGACGGAACCAGCACTGACAAGATCTTTGCGGAGGGCCAATAAATGCAATTTGGGTACTTGGACACTCTATAGCAGCATTATTTCCCACTACCCTTCTGCTACCTTACGTATCACAGGAACTAACTCAACCTTCAACGTATGCAGGAGTTGCCACGGCTGCTGACCTCCCTGAATCTCTTGCCATTCGCCTCCATTCGTCTCTGTATATCCGCTTTCGACCGACCCTGATTCTCCCTCCTCAAGCACGGCATCCGTAGCTGCCGCTTCCTCTCCATCACTCTCACACACTCCACAGAGTTTCCAATACATTCTCAATCTCCGGCCACTTTGACCGATTCTTTGCAAGGCAGAACCAAGCCAGAATCGCCAAGCGTCGGGCGCCTGACTTGGAGTACTGGTTACCAAGACGAGGGTCGATATATGCTTCAGGTCTGAGATTTGGGTCCGAGACAAGTGCTTTGCATTCGATTACCATCGTCTCTTTCTCTTCCGCCACTCTTCTGCCGGTTACCAGCTCTAGCAAGAGAACGCCAAAGGAGTAGACGTCACTCTTGGCACTCAGGTGACCTGGGGAAGGGAGAGATCAAAGGAAGAAAAGGTAGAGGGGGAGAGAGGAAAAGAGGGAAAGAGTGGGCAAGTGGAGAGAGGAACAGACATCACCCTTGGCACCCAGGTGACCTGTAGCGACTTTTGAAGCGCCTCAAAAGTAGTTTCAAAAGGTGCCTCAAAATTCGTCACACACATCACCCTTGGTGCCCAGGTGACCTGTGGTGGGCGCGCGCGAGGGGGGAAGGAGGGGGTGGGGGGGGGAGGGGGGGGGAGAGGGAGGGGAAGGAGCGGGGAAGGGGTGAGGTATCCCCAGGTGAGGTATCCCCAGCCAAACCTTCTGTATGCTAGTCAATTCTTCAGTATAGGATCTTCTTTTCCATGTATGAGGGGTTTGTGTACCCTCAGGTTCCCATGATGCGAGTTGACACACTTGACAGCAGGTGCATTGCCGTTCAGCCCCCCACTCCGCCAGTACCCCACCCCACACCCTCTGTATTGCGCATGCTACTTTTAGTCCACACACACCTGTCTCCATGTATGAGGGGTCTATGTACCCGGGGGTGCCCATGACGCAGGTCGACACAATCGACCGCAACTGCCTATCCGGCCCCGCTCGCACCATGCCAAAGTCTGTCAGCTTTGCGTCATACTCCTGTGGCGTTGGTGGTGGGGAGAGGACGGGTGGCAATATTGGGAGTACGGGGGAAAGGGGGCAGTCATTGAAGGGAAGCTACACGTGATCTCTCATACCATTCCAGAGTCTGACAGCTTTCTCAAGAGTCGTATTCCTGTGGCAGGGGAAGCTACACGCGATCACTCACACCAAGGGGGTGAGAGGAGCATGTGATTCGGAGGGAAGGAGCATGTGATTCGGAGGGAAGGAGCATGTGATTCGGAGGGAAGGAGCATGTGATTCGGAGGGAAGGAGCATGTGATTCGGAGGGAAGGAGCATGTGATTCGGAGGGAAAGAGCATGTGATTCGGAGGGAAGGAGCATGTGATTCGGAGGGAAGGAGCATGTGATTCGGAGGGAAGGAGCATGTGATTCGGAGGGAAGGAGCATGTGATTCAGAGGGAAGGAGCATGTGATTCGGAGGGAAGGAGCATGTGGGTTTTGAGTTGACTTACGCGAGGAAGATTCGCAAGGAAGGGGGCAGAGGCAGCCACTGTTGAGAAGCTATATGTGATGGGTCTCGCGCCATACAGAACCTCTTCTGATAGAAGTAGTGTTTTGTGACGTCTCAAAACACTACTTTTACCAGAGGCAGCCATTGTTGAGAAGCTACATGTGATGGGTCTCGCACCATACAGAACCTCTTCTGACTTTTGAGTCCACTCAAATGTCAATTCGGAAGCAATATGTGATGTGATGTGATGTGTCTCGCGCCATCCAGAGTCTCTTAGCTCTGCATCATATTCGTGTCAGCTTTACAACAGGAGCGAGTGGGGAGATTTAGAGGGATGGTGAAAGCAGCGTTGAGAGCTTGCTGCCTGTACTATCTGCCCTGCTACCTCCCCTCTCTCCCATGCCCTTACATGCACTCACAGGAGAGAGCAGCACGTTGGCTGCTTTCAAATCCCGGTGAATAATTTTGGATTTGTGCAGATACGCCAGCGCCTCTGCCACCTGCACCGCCACCTTGAGTCGCATGCTCCAGCTGAAGAAGAGCTCTTCCTTTGCACCTGGTGGGTGGAAGGGGGGTGCGGGGTTGTGGCACAGGCGGGAGGACGGAAGGAGCAAAGGAGGGCAGAGAGGGAAACAGGGAGGGCAGCAGGGGAAGCAGCAGAGAGGACCGCGGGAAGGGCAGAGAGGGCAGCAATGGGATCAGGTGCAAGCCACACCCGCATGAACTGGTGGTTAACCACACAAGCAGGGAGAGGCGAGTGCTGATTCTAGTCGAAACTGGTGATTAACCACCACCTGTAGCAGCCCACTCAATGTCTAATAACGCTTCGTCCATGCCGCCCCCCCGTCGTGAACCTGTACACGAGCAGAGCGAGGAGAGAGCTGAGTCCACTCTACCCTGGTGGTATACCACCCGTAGCACCCCACTCACTGTGTAATAGAGCCTTGTCCAAGCTGCCACCAGTCATGAATTCGTACACGAGCAGAGCCTCGTGGTCTTCTATGCAGTAGCCGTGCAGATGCACGAGATGCGGGTGGGACAGCCGCCCCAGCACGATCACCTCTCTCTGCACGAGAGGGGTCGAGAAGGGTTGGAGAAGTGGAGTTGAAAAGATGGATGGGCTGGGTTGGGCCCTCCCTGCAGTAACCGTGCAGACGCACAAGGGTTGGGAGGGTGGCGGGTTGGGGTAGAGGGATGTGAAGGGTCCATGCAGTGGACGTGCAGACGCGCAGGACGCGGGTGGGACAGCCGCCCCAGCACGATTATCTCTCTCTGCAGTGATTTGAAAAGGGGACAAAGGAGGATAAGCGGGACGGGGTGTGTGCGTGCGAAACATCCAGTCAGTAGCAGTGCATGCGCACAAGGTGCGGGCGGGACAGCTTTCCAGCACGATCACTTCTTCTGCACAAGAGGTGCGTGCGGCGTGGCGGAGTGTGGTTCGTGTGTGCAAAATCTCCAGGCAGTAACAATGCAGGCACACAAGGTGTGGGATGGACACCTCTCCAGCAATCTCTCTGCAGTCGAGGGGATTGGCATTGTGTGGAAGGAAACGGGAGATGCTCATTAGGAACGCTGGCACTCCAGCCTCTTATCTCATGGATGCACGTACCACAGTATCATAAACCCCATGTTTCTCTCACCCATGAGCGCACGCACGCACGCACCAGAAATTCTTTCTCGTATCGTTCGTTCGCGTCGCGCATTCTCTTAACCGCCACTTCTGTCGGCTCCGGGCCAAGCCCATTCGGCCCTGGCGGGATCACCCCTCGATACACGACCCCGAACCCGCCTCTGTCAATGTCCTTTCGTGGATGGAAGCTGTTCGTCGCATCCTGGAGTTCGGCGAACGAAAACCGTCGCAAGGAGCTCGTGATGAGGTCAGTGTGGGGATTGTGGCTGGTAGTGTCGCTGGCGCTAGGATTCGCGGTTGACCCGCCGACCAAAACATTGTTACCGACTAAAACTACTTCATCGGCGCAGGCACTAGATTTCGCGGTTGGACCATCCACCAAAATACTGTTATCGGCGTCACTTGCACTAGGATTCGGGGTTGGACCGTCGGCCAAAACATTGTTATCGGCGCTAGCAGGATTCGGGGCTGGACCGTCGACTAAGATTACCTTATCGGCGTCACTAGCACTATGATTCGGGGTTGAACCGTCGACCAAAACACTCTTAACGGCGTCACAGGCACTGGGAATCCCGGTCGAACCATCGACCAAAACATAATTACTGGTGTCAGTGGCAGTATTCGTGGTTGAGCCATTAACAAACACATTAACAACAATGGTACCGGCACCAGGATTTGGGGTTGAACCGTCGACCGAAACAACTTTAACGGTTGCTTGAGAGGCAGATGTTGTGAGAGAGGATGGATTCTAAGTGCTCGGAATGGACTTGCTGGCGGAGTGATCAATGATTGGTGTGCTTGTTTCAAGGTGGTCTGCTGGAAAAGGAATGGTGGAAATGGAATTCTAACTTAGGGCACGTGTGGTCTGTTTAGAAGTTCAAAATAAAGTTCGAACTTTGGGTGGTTACCCTATTCGCTAATCTCGCGAAGGGTGCTTCGCGAACAAAGCATTGTATGGGCTTGTCAGAATGTTACTGTTCTCTAGCCTGCAGTGGGGTACTCTATAGTGAATACAACCCCTTAGGGTTTCGTATATGTATCCTGCTGCTTTCTAGTGAAACCCCTCTTTTTGCCTAAACTATTCTTGCCTAGCTAGGTCTTTCCTAGCTATAGATACTTTCCTCTACCACTCATTTTCACATGGTTATCAGAGCAGTAAGCTCCTGGCCTGTGGGCCCCACCACACTCCTTCCGCTGCAACTGCTACTCTCCCTTTCCGCCGTGCGCCCGGAGGTGCGCGGCGGGTTTCTGCCCCGTCACGCCGCGCGCCGCTCCCGGGAGGCGCTGCGACGGGCGACGGGGACCTCCGTGTTGCCCCCCGTCGCCCGTCGTGGCCTGCGCGCGGCCCGTACAGCCTGCGCGCGGCACGTACGGGTCGCGCCAGACCCGTCCGCGGCCCGTACGGGCTGCGCCAGGCCCGCGCGCGGCTTAGGCCGCCTACGCGCGGGTCGGGCGCCTGTACCAGGCCCGTTGGCGGCCCTTTCTTCACTGCCCCTGCCCTACCTGCTGTTCCCCGTGCCTCTTCTTGGGCCCCACCCCTTCTTCTGCCCATTCCTTTGGATTAGGGTTTGGGGGTGAGGGATATGGGGGTGTAACTTCTGTGTGCCGTTCTCTGCTCCTCCTCCTCCTCCGTCTCCCAGTGCTGCAGCTGCCGCTGAAGGGGGGTGGACCTGTTGGAGCCGTCGGAGTGGTACTAAGGGGGGTGAAGGGGGAGTGGAGCTAGGGGTGAAGCATGGGGTGTGTGTCAAGGGGGGGGTGGGACTGTTTGGGGAGGTTGCAGGGAGGTTGCCGTAGTGTCGCCAGCAGCACCTGTAGTCCGGGGAGTTGCTCCGGTAGCCCAGTCGTAGTCACCTGTGCCAGTCGCCCGTGGGTCCATTGCTCGTCTGCCGCTACTTTTAGCCGCGGGGCCAGTTACTCCAGTAGTCCGGAGCGCTGTTCCGGTAGCCGCTGTGCCAGTGTGCCTCCTGTTGCCCGTGTGTCTGCAGCTTCAGTCGTCGCCTCCTATCTCCTCTCCTCTTACAGTCTCGCCTCCTCCTCCTCACTTGTCCTCTGCGATAGCCTCTAGCTTTGCTCCTAATTGTGAACTTTAAACCATTGGTTCTGGTCTTTGTGCTCAGAATGTGTGGTGACATTGTGATCCACCCTGAGCTTGTTTTGCTTTGCTTGCTCTGCTGATTACACCCCACTTTGGCTATGGGGGTGTGTCAGAATGTTACTGTTCTCTAGCCTGCAGTGGGGTACTCTATAGTGAGTACAACCCCTTAGGGTTTCCTATATGTATCCTGCTGCTTTCTAGTGAAACCCCTCTTTTTGCCTAAACTATTCTTGCCTAACTAGGTCTTTCCTAGCTATGGCGTCTTTACTATACCACTCATTTTCACAGGGCTCTGCAAAAGTTCGAGTTTGAAATATGAACTTGACTCGAGTCGGAGGCGGGAACGTGCGTGCGCACGTTCATGCGAGCGTGTGTGATTTGCAGCACGTCCGAACTGCTGGCGAAACGGGCGAGCGCTTCGCCAGTGCATGAAGTTGCACAACGAAGACACCCCACAATTCGTGCACACAGTGGTAGCCACGTGTCCAGCATCGTGGCACGTTCGAGCACGATGTGGCAACGCGTCCCGCCCGTCTTGACGTCAGTCACGATGACGAGTATACAAGGTGTTGCCACGAGGGCTATTTGTACCCTGGTTACACACTCGGCGCGGAAGGTGAGTTGGAGCTCTAGGTCCTTGTAAAGCGAGGCGCAAAATGTTGACGTGGCGCACTGTCAAGACGAGCGAACCAGGTAACCTATGATGTTGACGTGCGGCTCGGCTCGTTTTTACAAGTTCGAATGTCGGGGTTCGACCTTGTATGTGTGTGATTTTTTACAGTGTGGTAAGCCCGATGTTCGAACTTGGATAGAAGGAAATTCGTGTCAGAACATATATGTAGCTTATGCTGTTGTGTAGGCTACAGTGGGGTATACCATAGGGGGCACAACCCAATTAGGGTTTTGCTATTTGTACTCACTTCACTCATAGTTCATTCACTTCTCGTTCTATTCTCCACATGGTATCGAGCAGGTTCCCCCGTGGGAACTGTGCTTAGGGCCCACCACTTTTAAACTTTTTTTTCTGCCCGGAGCGCGCTCCGGGCCCTCGCTCTCACTCTTTCGGCCTGCCCTGCGGCCCCCTAGCCGCCCGCGCGCGCCCGTTCCGGCCCCTAGCCGCTCGCGCGCCGCCCGTTCAGGCCCCTAGCCGCCCTCGCGCCGCCTGTCCCGGCCCCTAGCCGCTCACGCGCCGCCCGTTCAGGCCCCTAGCCGCCCGCGCGCCGCCTGTCCCGGCCCTTAGCCGCCCGCGCGCCGCCCGTCCCGACCCCTAGCCGCTCGCGCGCCGCCCGTTCAGGCCCCTAGCCGCCCGCGCGCCGCCCGTCCCGGCCCCTAGCCGCTCGCGCGCCGCCCGTTCAAGCCCCTAGCCGCCCGCGCGCCGCCTATCCCGGCCCCTAGCCACCCGCGCGCGCTCGTCCCGGCCGCGCTCTCCTGTCTCGGCCCCTCGGCGCCAGGACGCCGCCTGTCCTGGCCCCTCACCCGTCCCGGCCTCACACCGCCCGTGCGCCGCCCGTCCCTGCTGCACGCCGCCGTCCCGCCCCCCCCCCCACGCCAAGCGTTAGCCGCCGTGCAGCTTGAGCCGCCCGAGCCGCCCGAGCCGCCTCCCCCCCCCCCCACCCCCCCCTTTTCCCGTCGCCTGTCGAGGCGACCTGAGGGGGCCGCAGCTGAGGGGTGGCAGGTGTGTGGTCTCCCCTGCTTCTCCTCCTTCTTCGTCTAGAGCCGCCCTGCAGCCGAGCCGCCTCGCCGCCGAGCCGCTCTACACCCGCGCCTCCCAGCAGCCGAGCCGCCCTGCAGCCGAGCTGCTCTACACCCGAGCCTCCCAGCAGCCGAGCCGCCGGGTCGCCGAGCTGCCGAGCTGCAGTTGCTGCCGAGCCGCCCTGCCGCCGAGCCGCCCGAGTCGCCCGAGCCGCAGAGCCGCCGTGCTGCCGAGCCGCTGAGTCGCCGAGCCTACTCTACCCACCACTGGTGAGCCCCTGCCCTACTAGCACGCTGCGCGTCGCCTGCTTGCCTGCCTGCCTCCCTTTTTGGCTTGCCTGGCTGCCTGCCTTACTGCTGCTACTCCTGCTCCTGCCTCTACTAGTGGAGCCAGATGCGGCCCCATCGACGTCTGCGTGAGTCCCTCACGCCCCAGCAGCTGCGTGAGTGGTACGCTGGTTGGGGCTGTAGGGGTGGTGGCGCTACTACTGCTACCACTCCTGCTGCTTCTACTACTGGTGGCGGCCAGATGCAGCTCCCGCGACCCCCCCGCGCGTCTCTCACGCCTCAGCAGCTTCGTGAGTGGTACGCTCAGAGTAGAGGGTCTCTCAGTTCTGTTCGCTGCTCTTACGTGATTCTCACTGGTGCTTGGACTGGTCAGCCTTGTGGGACACCTGGTCATACACAGTCCCGCTGCTTCGCCCGTCTGAGCGACGCCTGGCGTACCGTGTTTGGCGACGAGGCTGAGCTCCCCGACTGGGTGGAGTTGCTTAGGCAGAGGGTAGATATATTTGCTCTTGACTATGATGCTATTCTCACTGCCATGTATGCATTGCCTACTAGTACTGACCGTACCGGTCACCTGTGCGTACCGCCTGACCCGGGTATAGGACCTGCTGCTCTAGCTACTGGTGAGGCTGCTGCTGCTCTGGGTGCTAGTGAGTCTCCTGCTCCAGGTACAGGTGCGGCTGCTGCTCTAGGTGCTAGTGAGTCTGCTTCCTCAGGTGCGGGTGAGGCTGCGCTCTCAGGTACCACGTTGGCTTCGGCCTCCCTCACCTTTACACTTGACTCTGGGGCTTCTCGCTCCTTCTTTCGGGACCGCACCACACTCACGCCGCTTGGTCGGCCTGTTGCAGTCTCCCTGGCT